CGCGAAGGATTCGCCTTGGGGAGGATAATCCCTTACTGGGAATTTAAGTAATAGAGAGGGGGGTTTGGTAGCCCTAACCCCACGCGGTAACCCTATTAAAAACCAAGCTAAATTTCGTCCTCGGGAAGGCTACTCCCAGCGAAGGAGGGGGGGGGGGGGCACCGCAAACTGAATCCACCCGCTTTCAACATTAGCTATATCTTACCTAGGTGGGTCCGTCTTCTTGCCGGTGGCGAAGAGGGTTTGATCTCGCAGCACGAACAGCCATGCGCTCGGCCCGCAATTTACCGGCTCTCCCTGTGCGGTGTGCAGGACCGCTCGCCCCTAAAAGAGGAGGAAAAGAAGGGACGTGTGTGTGAGAGGGATCTTTCGTTTTCCACAAAACAAACGACAAAAAAACACACACACAACGAACCAGGTCAGCACAAACAGAAGCGCTTTCAAACAGAGACTACTGCTGTAGGCAACAACTCGCAGCACACTCATATATAAAAAAAAAAAACTCCAGCAACTGAAAAGTTGAGCACTCTCTTCACAAAAAAAAAAAGTCCAGCACTGCTCTTCTATCTCTCTTGAGCAGGAAGTAAGACCTCCTGCGCCGCAGGGGCGAGAGGTAGAGAGGCTCGAGTGTGGCGAGCCACCAGCGGCACCGCCGAATCACCCCAACCCACTTGGTGCCGGGCGCGGGACCAAACATTCTGCGGAGCCTCTCACGGGGAATGCCCCGGGTGACGGTTACAAACACGAGACGGAGGGATCACGCGTGACGTCCATCTATCCACCTTTGACAGACGACGACCGATCGGGCTACATTCCACCCACACCCCACCCCATCAGTTGTATGCTCCCACGGAGGGACACACACGACTGCCGGCACTTTTACGACTGATTGTACCATACCAGAGCCCGGGCATCATCAGGGTTCCACCCGTACATACATCCCAAGGCGCGAAACAAACAATACTGACCGACCGAACCACCCCCCCCCCCCCCCCCGAGACCTGAGATAGGGGCCCCCGTCCCC